TAGTGCCGCCCCCTCTCTGGGGCTCGCTGTGCCCATGCTGGGCTTCTCTAAAGTGCGCTCCCCCTTCCTGGGGCTCAACACACCCACGCTCGGGCTTCCTGGTAGTGCCCCCTCCTGGGACTCATCGTGCCCGCACTGGGGCTTCTCAAAATGCCCCTCTCCGGGGCTGGGGTCTACACACCCCGTAAGTTGCGCCCTTACTGGCGCTGGGGTCCTCACACTCCCTTGTGAGTCCCTGATGAGTACACTGCGCCATCCTCAGGTGCTGGGGCCCCCACCCCTCTGAGGGTCCCTATGAGGCCTCCTCCAACCCCTTATAGCCTCACCCTAGCCACCAGTGTAATACAAACACTAAAGCAAACACAAGCCTCCTGGCTATAACCAAAACCTAAGGCACTGGGCCATAACAACATAAGCCTCCTGGCTGTAATTCAACATCATTGCTCCAGCCTCTGGAGCTCTCGTGAGCTATATTTGCGATCCAGGTTCTCCCCTACACCCTGGCCGAAGGAGCTCCTACCTCTCCAGCTGCTAGCAGGGAACTCCTAGCCTGGCTTCGGCCCTGGGCTTTATAAGAGCCAGGCCCTGCCTCCTACAGGCAGCTGACTCTCATTAGTTGCCCCGGCAACCCACAGCTGTACTCCCTAATCTCTGCTAGGGCTCCTTATGCACTGCCAGAGCTTCTCCTCTGGCAGTTTTCCCTTCTCTAGGAGCAGGGCAGTGAGGTGCCCCGCGACACACAGTAACGCGTGTTTCAGCACTGTCATTAGTACTTGCTTATACAAATACTAAATGACTATGCAGTAAAGACTGTGCAGTCAGTGCCTTGTGTAGATGCAGCCTGAGTTGCCTGAATGCTCAAGACAGGCAAACCATCCTTCTCAAATCCACTACTTCTGCATCAAGCTCTGGTTACCTGCATCCCTGTTATACATGCTGGTACTTGCATGTGATACTAGTGCTCTTTTCATAGATTTCATAGACATTGGGGCTGGAAGGGACCTCGGAAGATCATCAAGTCCAGCCCCCTGTCCAGGGGCAGGAAGTCAGCTGGGGTCATAGGATCCCAGCAAGAAAAACATCCAAATTTATTTGGAGGCATTCAGAGTAGGTGCTTGAACCACCTCCGGTGGCAGGCTGTTCCAGACCTTGGGGACTCGGACAGTAAAGAAATTCTTCCTTATGTCCAGCCTCAAACAGTCCTGCAGGAGTTTTTAACCATTTGACCTTATCATCCCTTGGGGTGCTCTGGTGAACAGATGTTTCCCCAGATCCTGGTGGACACCCCTTATAAACTTATAAGTGGCCATCAGATCACCCCTGAGCCTGTGCATTTCCAGGCTAAAGAGTCCCATAGCTCTCAGGCTGTCATCATAAGATCTGTTTTCCTGACCTCTGATCACATGCGTGGCTCTTCTCTGGACTCTCTCAAGCTTCTCCACATCCTTTTTGAATTGTGAAGCCCAAAACTGGATGCAGTACTCCAGCTGCAGCCTCACCAAGGCCGAGTACAATGGGAGAATGACGTCTTGGGATTTGCTTCAGAAACATCTATGGATGCAAGCTAGCATTTTGCTCGCTTTACTAGCCAGAGCATCACATTGAAGGCTCACGTTCACCTTGTGGTCAATCATGACCCCCAAGTCCCTTTCATCCATAGTGCTAACCAGTGTAGCACTGCCGAGCCTATAGGGATGCTGCAGGTTTTTCCTCCCAAGGTGGAGAACCTTGCATTTCTCAGTGTTAAACACCATCAGGTTCTTATCTGCCCATTTCCTGAGCCTGTCAAGGTCAGCCTGGATCGCCCTCCTGTCCTCAGGTATGGATGCTTTACCTTAGAGTTTGGTATCATCAGCAAACTTGGCCAGTCTGCATCTGACTCCAATGTCCACATCATTAAAGAAGATATTGAACAATATAGGTCCAAGGACAGAGCCTTGAGGAACCCCACTGGTCATAGGGCACCACGACAATTGACTTCCATCAATGCCCACCCTCTGGGTTCAACCATGGAACCAATTCCCCAACCAGCGGATCGTGGTGGACCCAAGACCACAGTTGACCAGTTTTGCCAAGAGGTGATCATGGGATACCAGATCAAAGGCTTTTTTGAAGTCAAGATATATGACATCAATCTCCTCTCTCTTGTCCAGGTGACAAGTCACCTGGTGGTAGAAGGAAATTAGATTGGTCAAGCAAGACCTACCCACAACAAGCCCATGCTGGCTATCCCTCAGGATGTTGCCATCAGCCAGTCTGTTAATAATGGCCTCTTTGATAATCTTTTCTAAGACCTTCCCTGGGATAGAGGTCAGGCTGATAGGCCTGTAGTTTGCTGGATCCACTTTCCTCCCCTTCTTGAAGATAGGCACCACATTGGCCTTCTTCCAGTCTTCAGGTGCTTCACCAGAGCACCAGGAGATCTCAAAGATCCATGTCAGAGGCTGAGCTATGACGCTGGCCAGCTCCTTGAGTACCCTGGGGTGTAGATTGTCAGGGATGGCTGACTTGAAGGTGTGCAGGCTCTCAAGGTGTTCCTTCACGAGGTCAGCATTGATGGGGGGCAAGGAATCTCCCTCACCCAGGCCTCCCTGTCCCATAATGGGCTGGGGCACCCCATGGGACTGGTGAAAGACTGATGCAAAGTACCCATTTAGTACATTGGCGTTTTCCTGGTTGTCAGTTGTCCCATCTGGTTTAGCAGGGGTCCAATGTTGCCCTTGCTTTTCCTCCGGCTCCCCACATATCTAAAAAAGGACTTTTTATTATCCTTGATACAAATAGTCAGTTGGAGTTCCATCGCAGTCTTGGCTGTCCTGGTTCACTCCCTGCAGGTCTGGACCAGTGTGAAATATTCCTCTTTGGAGGTGGATCCCATCCTCCATCTTTTGTAGGTCTTTCTTTTTAGATGCAGGAGGTTCGCTAGTTCCTTGCTGAGCCAAAGGGGGTGCTGTGCCCTTTTGCTGCCTCTCCTCCAAGGCAGAATAGCCTGACCTTGTGCATTGAGGATCGCTCTCTTGAGGAGTAACCACTTTTCCTGAACTCCCCTCTCCTTGGGTCATGGTTCCTTAGGGCCTCACTGACAAGCCTCCTGAGCTTGTCAGGGTCAGCTTTCCTGAAATCAAGGACTTCAGCATTGCTGACTGACTTGCCAGCTCTACTGCAGATGGTGAAAGTGATCAGCTTGTGGTTGCTGTCACCCAGCTTCCCTTCGATCGTTAGGTCACTGATTAGGTCATCCCCAGTAGCCAGCACCAGGTTGAGCAGTGCTTTACCTCTCATTTGCCTGTAGACTTCTTGTGTCAGATAGATGTCATCCACATATGAGAGGAAGCTTTGTGACCGCTCAGAAGATGATCACAGATTCCTTTGGACCATGCAAGCTGGAGCACCTCTTGATTGCATCTCTTCTGTTTATAATATGGAATAGTCATTCAAAGAAATGCTGGAAAAGCAAAAG